CTGTTCAGCATCTACCTGACTTTTTTGCCCAAAAACAGGCATTATAGAGATGCAAGCCCTGAGTATACATTAATCCCAAGCAGTAAGTTCTGAAAAGCCAAACCCCTGCAGCCGCACGATCTAAACCCTACGCGCCTCTGCTCTGACATGCAAAACAGTTGTGTTAGGGCTCGATGGCTCCTCTCGCCCTGCAACGTATGTCTCTAGCCTGAAAGAAGTCACAAGGGGCTACGCGGCATAATTCTTGCTATGATTACAACAGTCTATGTTACTCTCGTTATCTCTCGTTACTGGCCTTACAGCACTCTTATTATTGTTACTCTTTTGGTTCTGAGGTGTAGGGCAGGGGGCTCAAGTGTTTAGGTGAGAAGGTGGTCCGGTTGGGGGAAGAAGGTGTTCGGGTTGAGGGTTGAATGTTTTAGGGTCCGGGGTTGGGGATGAAGCGGTCTAATTGATGTTTGATCCCGATTAGTGTCGGGGGGAGGGCACTAGTTGTGCAAGATTGTGCTGAAATTATTCAGCACCCCTTGCTTTCTTTTAGGGGCTCTTGAATGTGCGAGGGGTTTGCGGCCAAAAAATTCAGAATGCTTAAATAGAATCCCTTATAAATGCCTTCTGGCACCCTTCTGAGCTTTTACATGGGCCGATAAATCTAAGATTCAGATTTGTTTTGGCCCCCATGAGGGACCGTATTTTGTTGGGTGTGTGGGAGGGAGGGCTGTCCCCATACACAAATCAGGACCCGCATTAGTGTTTAGCTTGTTTGGGCTAGGGTTGATGCTTACATGTGTCAACTTGCCAGTATCATCCATAAATGGTCAATTCTCCAATGTGCTCCAAAGGGCCAACGAATGATTTTTGTTTCTTTCTGGGCTTTAGGGGAGCTACGTTCCCGAACCACTCCCACCATACTAGGTTTCCACCCGCCAAAGGGTTCAGGGTTCTCCTTTCTCAAGGAATAGTGAGGGTTAGCAAGAGCCAATTCTGGGCGGGGTTTTGGGGCGGGGGGTTGGTTAGGAGAACGTATGATAGTTTGGTGGAGGGCAGGGTTGTTAAAGGAAATCTGTATGGCTTTGCAGGAGTAGAGGGTCAAGGGTTGGAGAGGGCTGGGACTGGGATACCTATAGCCTATTTCTGGTTGTAGCCGTTTACAACTCCCGCAAGTCACTTCCTGCTATACTGGGCTGTTTGCTTATCCGTGTGCAGGATTTCGAGGCCACCACATTTTCCTTGGTTCGCCTCATGCCTGTATCATCAATTTGAGGAAGAGCGGCAGCCATGGCGTTCCAGATTAATCCGTGCTCTTGACTGATATAAAACCCCCTAGATTGAACGCCTTTTTGGGTCAAGCTTGGGGCCCAAGATTACTTGCAAGGCAGAGGGGGTTTCAAAGTTCAAGGTCATTTGTGTCGCAAAATGCTTTAAAGGCCTTATTCCTTGGCTGCTCTTAGAAATCAGAAAAGGAAAGCTTCTGGAATCTTGACTGGCTTAGTACGGCTGCTCTCATAAGACTAAGAGAGCTGATTCTGAGACCTGAATTGCGTATTGAAATTCATAAGGAATTGGAGGATCTGCACGTAGTTGGACCCCTTTAATCCGCCCAGAATCCTCGTGCTGCACAGCAGTAGAATCACAAATAGTGTTCCGTCATGAGCCTCATACAAATGACAGTCCAATGCGCAGTACAGGTCTGCCTTATACTTTTAGGCCCCTAGCGCACATCCCTTATGATTTCCCTGCTGAACCTCAGGTGACCATGACCACCGCGTCCCAACATCTGCTTCAAAGTTTCTATGAGCCGTACATCCTTCAGCTGCAGACGCTTCTTAATGATACGTCGCTGCGGTGGTGGGACTAAGGCTTGCTAGCTTGCAGATCAGGACCATAAACCAAGTTACCACTATGAGGAAATAAGTCGCCACCGTACGGAAACCATGCTTCGTTCGGGGCTGAACAGGAGCCCAGCATCGCAATCTAGGGCAACTACAGGGGTGGGGTTCCTATGAGGGCACCTTGCATGAACCTGATATTCTCGTTGTATGAAAGCTCGTGACCCTACATTGCCAGCATATGCCCTTTGCTAAGACTCTTCCAGTTGGAAGGTCCCCTTCAAATTGCGCTCAATATGCGAGTTGGGGTTTACAGCTGAGGCTCAGGGAATACAGGCATATTTGAACAACACAGGTTTGGGGGTTCCTTGTTGGGTTAAGGTTAACGTGTCTGGGGTTTGGGATCTGCGTTGTTATGCATGGTGCCTCAACGGTTGCAGCATCAGAGCTCTATGGCCAAGAGTTCCACCACCAAACGGCCTTGTACCCAGCCAGGGAAGAGAGAGTGAAAGTCTTTTCTCATATTTGTTCAAAAAATCAACCTGCTAGACTCCTTCGATCCCTATGGAAAACCACAGTATAGGTCTTTTGCCTTCTCTGGCAATGCTTTATCTTAATGTCATGGGCGCATATCTTCGGCACACGCCCCTGACTTAAACTCAGCCCCAACAACTGGCGTGATCCTTGTCAACTTGACACTATCACATTAGTCCCTGCGATACCATATTCTCACTTCCCTGCCCTCTGCCAAATCAGGAAAAACTTGATTCTGAGGCAGTTTGGCGGCATTTAATGTCGGAACGCCTTGGTTGGGATTCAACACCACCGTATCGTGAGTTGTTGCTTGAGCTGTGAGCAACAGACGAAGCAGTTAAAAGCGCCAAATGCAGAGCTAACTGCCTGCGGTGGAGATGTTTGTTGCTGAGCTTATACACCAGGCCCGCTTTGGAACATTGGTGACAGTTTTTTGAACTACTACCACATTGGCGTCGTTTAGGGAGGCCGCACATACACAATCTATCCCAAGTGTGTGTCAGTCAAAAGCCCTTTTTGAGGGTAATGTCAGGCGATATAATGAAATTTTGGTGTAGGGTTTGAAGGTCCAAGTTTCATCTGAAGAGGTGAGCAATTGTGAGCAATGATTGTGGATCAAGCCGTAAGCCGAGAACTCGAATCCTGAACCCTCAGCGCAAAGCCAGCCTGAAACCCAAAGCAGCCAAAACATCCTAAACCCTCGACCTTAGGGCCGCTCGCTAAGGCTTAAGGTCTAAGATTTAGGGCTAGTGGATTTGGGGCTTAGAGTTTGTAGTTTAAGGTATGGGGTTTACGGTTTGGGGTTTCTAGTTGGGAGTTCAGTGTGTAGGGTTTAGGGAATGGAGTCGTGTTGCAACTATTTTGGGCTTCGGGTGGATTGTTTTGCTTTGGAAAAATGTTGCAGGCTCGAAGCTTGCCACTAAGAAATTTGGGACCCCAAGTAACTGTACGTAAGTCAATTTGGCCATTAATTAATTTTGGCTTGACCGTTTAGGGCCGGCCTAGTCTTCGGCTGTTCTGAAAAATCGCAACGATAGAACCTTCGGTATGGGTCAGTACGGGTCCATAGGGTATTAGTGGAGACGCACCTATACAAGCCTTACGGAGCCCTGAAATCCTAAGACTAATAGGCTTGAGGCTTGCTACTTTTGACAACACCTCACAAGCCCAAAACCAATTTTGAGGGACGACCGGACTTAGTAAGCCAAGTAAGTCTTAGTAAGTACACTAGGATCCAGTATTGACCCAGTGGTGTTGTTAAATCCTCTACCACGGCTGATAGGTACTAAAACGAAGGGCTAAAGGTAGGGTGACCGCAGTTGCAACCCGTTTCGGAACCACATGCGCCTCCAGGTAAACCCTACTGAAACCCTAGACCCAAGCCTAAGCTCTAAACCGTAAACTCCAAAACCCCAAGCCCTAAACCCTACGCCCCAAACCGCAAGAGAACATCCAAGCACATCATCCTCCAGGCTTTCCAGGGCCTGCTAGTGGGCCCGGCTCTCTGCTGTGCAGTACCATTGAACCCGGTAATGGCTCCTCTAAAGATGGACAGTCTTTGTACTGCCATTTTGCAAGCCCCGAGTTTGCAGTAGGATGGCCATTCATAGGTTTACGGGACTTTATTGTTACTGGAAGTTCGAACCCCAAGCCCAACCTAAAACCGTGAACCCCTAGTTCTTATCACAAGGTTATCTGACCCAGGCTGGCGCAGCTACAAAATATTTGTCACCTCGCTCCAGCAATGATCCTGCCACAACACCCCCCCATAATGAATATCACCCATTATACGTATTATCATGTGAAGGTATTAGTTACGAGGGGATGGGGATTATTGAGTCCCACGAATTTACTTGCGCCTGCAATCCCACGGACGAATTTGTGAAGCAAAGGTCGGGGTCCAGTCGGCTTTGCGGTCTTTCTGGGTTTGGTGCTTAGGAGTTGATGTTGTTTTTTTTGAATATGCGTTCCCCATACAAAAATTCCATGTTTCATGGAGGAGTTTCCCCGCCTTGAAAGGTTCTTCAACTTACGCTCCAGCGCAAATCCCAGTAATGAGACTTCCTATCCGCCCAAACCCTAAACTGTGCATATCTGCTCGCTGGTCGGCTACTGTCTGTTCAAGGATCTACGCTTTTGACAGAGGTAGTGGATCAATTTCGGGAAGGAACTTAGGGTGTAGGGTAAAGGGCTAGGTCCCGAAAATCTCCCTTTTCAGGGAACCCCCCATATCAGACTCTCAGAACTGCAAACCTAGAACCCTAGTTAGGCCCCAAACCATCTGCTTGCAATGTCAGAGCCGCAACCCTGAGCCCCGAGCTTACAGAAATCCTTCACTCCCTAAATCCAAATTCCTAAAGCCCAAGGCATCAACCCTGACTTCTTTCACTTGATATTTCCAACGATTTCTCTCCAAGCCCTCAGACCAAACCTTGAAACCCTAAGCCCAATTTCCACCTCTTAATATAGGTGTTGCAAGCAGCATCAATAACAATGGTAGTCCAGGCAATGATGGATGCCAAGAAACGTGATAACACAAAGGCGTGCCCTAGATCCATGAAGCCGGTAAAGCCCGAAACCCGCAGCATCCAGAAAGCCCCCTGAGACCCCAAATCGAGGCCACCGGGGCCTCCACCTATGCCAAAGCTGCCTTGCTTCGGTGTCTTTGACGCATTGGGTGGGCCCAGCATGTCGGTGCAGGGTTTCAGGTTACTGCTCTGGGATTGGGGCATAGGGGTTTGAAACTTGGGTGTGGGGCTGAGGGTTTTGTGGGTCGCTGGAATTAGTCGAGATCCAGTGCTGCTTGTGAACAACTCTGTTGCTCTAGATTGTCATGCACGGGGCCATGTGTCATGGTATAGGGGCCGGGGTTTAGAGTTCACGGGTAACGTTGTTAAGAAAATATGTTCTTCATTATAACCTCTTTAAACCCTGGCCCTGATTCTCACTGGTTCATTGCTGAACTGCTTGCAGGCCTGATTCTGCATCATCGCTACTTTTTCACAAGCTAACACGGAACCTCACAGAAGACTGGACTAGGCTTGCATATTCTTATCAGGGAGGGTGATTAAGCATGTGGTGCCCAAAACGAGCCGTCATTCATGGGAAGCCATTCATGAGTAGAAAGCTAGTTGGAACCCCAAAGCTCACTTTGAACGTACGCCTGGGATGGGATCATGGAGTGTCAGTGCTGTGAAGCTGTTCGTGGATTGGAAGCAAGCGAGTCAGGGATTGCTCGATGCCACATGAAGGATGCATCCGTTTTGAAAACCAGATTCGATGCAAATCGTCGTTAGCTTTTGATACCGGGAACGAACATGTGACTCTAGCAAGGGGACATTCTCAGGATTGTCTCACCTAAGTTGTCCAAAGCGATCTTAGGGTTGTGTCTCAATGAAAGGAAAAAAGGGATAACATTACCAATCAGGCATGCTAGAAAATTCAAGTTCAGCAGTTTTGGTTTAAGGCTTGCGGCGTCTTAGCCGACAGGCTGCCCTAAACCAAAAATCATAAGGAAACAAGTCCCCCAAAACCCAATCCTCTCTCAGGACTGGGGCCCATACAAAGTGTATTAGGGCTAATGAGAACCATGAGACTTCGCTGGAGGGGTTAAGTTTCGGTGCGCTCCCGTAAGGGTGGCGCGATCCCGCCATATCGACCCTGTGACAAACTTCTCTAGGTGACCTGCTGACCGGCCAGTCGGATTTTCGGCATTGAGTCGCTTCAACCGAAACGGGTCAGTACCATGAGCATCAATTGCAGTCCGTCCGGCTTTGTGTGCTTGACTGGCCATAGCCCTATCCATTCTCCTCCTCCTCTCACTATGACGACAATGACGAGGAAGAGGAAGAAATGAATGACAACAATGACGACGCGCCAGTTTGAAACGCACATCCTCAACGCTTTTGAGCCACTGAAAACGCCAGCCCCGAATTCTCGACCTTGGATACCACATGCTCATGCCGTGCTTTCAAAGCAAGCTTGCATCCCTAATCACCAAAGCCCTAAACCCACAAAAAGCCTGAGGACCTTTACACTCCAATAGATGACGCCGAAAACCTCAGCCCTGAAATTCCAAAAAAGACGTTAAAACTCCGAACCTCAAAACAGACCAACATATCGATGCATCCTAAGCCTGCAGAGCTTCCAAGCCCTTCAACCACCAACTTCGAGCCCTAAATCCTGAAGCTCCAAACCTTGAAAAAGCAAAGGCGGAGGAGCTTGCCAGACTCAGGTAGGCTCGTAAATCTAAGACGAATCTAAGAGGGGAAATTAGGGTTTGGCTTAAGGGTTTCTGACTGGATGTTCAAGATACGTACTTTTTACCCAGCTGTCTGTGTACTTACAAGACGTAAGAAAAAAAGCACCCAAAGTCCCCCAATACGGTTGGAATTGAGATATAGCTACCCACCGTGACGATTGAATTAGAATTACCCCAAACGTCCAAGCATAGCTTTCAATATTATCCCAACATGGAACCAGGATGGTGTCAGGTTTAAAGTTTCGGGATCTAGTGGTGCAGGGATTTAGGCTTAAGGTTTGGAAATCAAGGCTTGAGGTCGGGATGTGGGGGTTCGGGCTTCCGTGTTTTTCGGTTTCCGATTTGAGGTTTGCGACTATGTGGGGTGTGGCTTTGTACAAGAAATCCTGTATGACCCTTCGCACCTTCTAGCCTGGAACTTGTGGTGTTCCGGCGTAGTGAAGTCGTGCAGATTCTTGCAGGTTCTAGGTGAGGCATCGCTTGTTTTAGGGTAGTACTAAAACGTCCACGCCATCTCGCAAGAGGGTCAGAGTCAGACAGTTAGACGACCTTCCTGTCGAGATACCCCACGGCAAAATCAGGGGATGCTGCTGATGGAGGAAGTCCTTTCACCATCAAAGACTCCCAAAATGATGTAATTACCAGGATCTACGGTATGTACTTATGGTGGTGCAGGAATTTATCCGTCAGCAGTATTGCTGTGCCGAAAACTGAACACCAGACGCATGGGCTTGCTGCTGCATTTGCAGCTGATTACCTCCTTTTGGTAGGATCTTCTAGGTGCAACACTACAGTGCAGAGGGATTGGGTATCTGTAGGGATCAGCAAGTTTGCCTTGATAAGATCTCGTATCGACATCCTATGCAAGCCTGGAGCTTTCGGGATATCTGGCGGGCTCACAGATTGGTATTTTATTCGGGCTTGTACCTCAAACTCCTTTCATGAAACCGCTGCATAATACAGGTGACCAGTCCATGCTCCATTTTATCGTCCATTTGATCCTCGGTTATTAACCCATCATATCCCTAAACCCTAACTTTCTAAATGCTGCAGCAGTTTTCCAGGATTGGCTCCAGGGTGTGTTCAGAAAAGATGTTATTTTCAGGGTTCGAGGTTCCCTCCCGGCCGTTCCGGCTTGGCAGCTCAGGATATCCGATCCTTTACCGGCTGTGCTTACCGTTTCTATCGGTTGTTCTGCGGTCTACAGTCCCTCGAGCGCATCGAATGCTGGGGAAACCTTTACTGAGCTTCTTGAAGCTCTTCGGGCGCAAAACCCGAATCAGCAAGACCCTGTAAGAATCCCTAACCCAACCCCGTTGCTTTATTCCCCTCCCCGACGCGAGTTCCGTCAAGGGCCACTGGGGCTGTACCCTAACAAGCCGGGTCAGATTCCATGATAGTCTTGGGGAGCGAAAGAAGTCAGCGCAGGAAATGAGGGATCTCCATCAGTCAAAAGTAGGCAGTTTCCCACATTTTTCTAGTTATGTAACATGGATCCCGTGTTCGATTTTCCCGCTTTGGAATCCCACATGCTGTGCGCCGAAGCAAGTCAGGCGGACTTTGCCCAGCAGATGATGAAGATGGGGTTCATGGTTACCTGGCTACTTGTGGATTTCCTTGGAGCAGTATACGGGGATCATCAGCGTCTTATGAAGGAAAGATTTAATGGGTTCCCTAGTGCTTGTAGGGGCATGGGAAGGATGGAGTATCCCTACTTAATTTAGTACTGGTCCCCGCATTGGGTTCCTCTTGTAATGCGGGCCCACACATCGGCTTCCACTTTGGGAGAAGTACTTCAACAGCTCCCTCATCTATCAGCTGATAAGGCTGCTCGTCGACAATTCAGTGCATGTCAACCAAGGCGAGACCCCCTCAAATCATTGCCTCGGAAAGCCGCGAGGGAAAGGTGGTGTGTTTGTGGCTGGAAGAGGTGCCAGTTCAGGAAAGATTCTGGACCCATCTAACATGGAGCCCAATAGCCCCCGTGTGCAAGGATACTAGTCTACAAGGGAGCCCTTTTCGGGTTCCAGGTTAGTTTGCGGAACACATATACTTAAACCTTGAAACCTTTCTTCTGCCTATGTATGCAATCCCTCAGCCGGGTTGGAGACGGTGCACCAGCCGAGATAGCTCCAGGGTCTGACGTGCCACTGAGGGCTCAAGCAAGACCCTAGCCTCTACAATCCAGACCCCACGTCACTTTCTCTTTTCATCTCCGGAAATGTGTTCTTCCTGCAGCACCTGCCGAATTAGTGCAAAGATTTCAGATGGAGTTTCTCTCCATAGCTCCATTAACGCATGAAGAGGGCCCGCCTTGGTATTCGATAATTTACAACGTATCATGAATGTGGATTTCAAAAAGGGTTGGCCTTTTGTTGGAGTTTGCAGGGACAGCGTTTATCGTAGTTTGGGGTGTAAAAGGGGGCCCCTACGTTCTGGAAACTCGCAAGCGTGATGGCCTCAGAGAGAACCCAACTTTCAGATTTAAGGTACCAATGGCTCCATGATATGACTGCACGTATTGCGCCCGAGTGTGCTTATGGATTGGGTTGTGAGTACAATTCAAAACTGGACTGTGAGTGCCCTGAACCTCCAAGCAGGACTCCGCATCAGCTTGGTAGGAAAGCATCAAAGTCGACCAGCTTTTACCCTAAAGCCCCGTACAGTTTAACAAGAGAGTTTTGGTAACTCCAACACCCCCAAATTAATACTTCATTATAAGATTGCTAAAGATGACTAAAGAATCCTAACTTTGGGATGTCGGGTTACCAAATTCTTCTCTTTCATAGTTGCCATTACAGAAAGCTTTCGTGGTTCAGAGCATGTGTTGTTGCTAGTACACAGGAAACATGACATGTGACACATTGATCCACTCCATAGAGTGCAAACTCTGTGTCAATACCAGGACTACATGGTTAAGGGTTCATGGTTCCGGGACTATTCTTCCGCCGTCAGACCAGGAAATCTATAGTCGTGAGCTGCTGAAGCCAGGCTCCACCTGGCCCGCCGCCAAAAGGACCTGGACCAGAGGCTGGGTGTTGAGGGTTTACTTGGGTAGGCATGGATGGAATTATGAGCAGATAATTATATTTGGAACTCAACCTGAGGTACTTGTACCCTATCAGCCAATTTAGGAGGGAGGGTCATCTCAATCAAAATGTGACGCTATGTACCAACTTCCAATACCATGCTCTGCAGAGTGCGTATGTCATGCAACCCTAGACTATCACTACTTTGGACTTTTTGCAAGCAGCATGCCTCCCCCAACAGGTGTTAAGCCCACCAACAGTTGTTGAAGTATCATAATGGCTGGGATGGACAAGCAAAACTGAAAGCTCTGCACGCAAAGTTGGAAGGGTGCCTTCAGCACACACACACACACACACATCTCTAGCCTTAGATTGTGTTTGTAGCTGCTACACTTTGCATTTGTCAGGTTCCTTTAACCCTATAGAAACTATGTACACCTTTTTTTTGGCCTTGGGAACTTGGCGGCTACGGGGGCAGGATTCATCTGAACAGTATGTTAAACAAGGTTACGACGGTGGATGGGGGAAACTCAAACAAAGATCATGTTTTCCAGGATGTCACTCAGCAGCCTAGCCACGTAAACATTGAACGCTACAACAAACTGCCATTCATGAAGGTTCGTGGGACGTAGTGGATATTCTGGTGACTGGGGTTATACCCTTTCATATAGGCCTAGGCAGAGGAAATATAAGTAAGGTCATGAACCAGATTCTCTGCGCTATATCACAGTGAGCCCTAAACCTTAACTCTAAGCCCTAAACCCTCAGCCCCAAATCCTGCAAAAGACCCTCAGGCTCAGAATAAACTGAAATTCGATAGGGCAAACACAAAACTCGACCCAAAAGTCCGGACATGAACTCCTGTAAGTCCTAAATCCTACGTCCTAAACCCATACCCTAAGCCAAAACTTCCAGTCTGCGATGAAGCAGCGACCTCCTGGACCTCCAAATGCTGCGCTCCAGAAGGCTCGCAGGGGGTTCAGTCGGCCTTACGCGTGGGTCAGGAGGTTTAGGTTCTGTGGATAAAGGGATGTAAAGGGAATTGAGGGCTTGTTCCAATAGTTGAAGATTTCGCTGAGTCTCTGAGCTGCAGTATGCTCCAGAAGGTTGGATGGTCAGATATCAGTCTGTCTCATGTATTTTGAAAGCTGAAACTTTACGGTTCTTTTGGTATGCGCAGGCTTTGTGCTAAAAGCTATCTGCCAAGGCAACATTGAAATTGGTGTAGGTCTATGGGGTTTGTGTACAACTCTTGTCCGTTCTCTATGATGCTGAGCAATTGGCTAAATCTGCCTGTATATGGCTATATTGTTCATTCGAACTAGAGGGTGAGATAAGTGAGGAAGCTGAACCTGAGACGAGTCGGGGATGCCAAAGATTGGTACTCCAAAATGGAGGGTGACGGAAAATGTGACCCAGTACAGACAGCCTGCTTGAAGAGTACAACTGCGATCGGGTGATGACTGTCTGGCAAGCATAGGCCAAACTGGCTAACTACTCATCGGCGCAGTCATGTGAGGAGAGGTTCCGAGCCCTGTGATAGAAAGCATATTTATTGCCGAACTGTTTTGGAAGGGACTTGAAATGTACATGGCTTATTTTAGAGAGCTGAGAGGGGGAGAGCTGGGAATTCTCCTAGCCTACACAAGCGTAGGTTGCACAATAGAACCATGAAGTGCAAGCTTCCGAGTCACGGGCAAAGAAGAGTGACTAAGAAGGGACGGCGAAGTTTAGATGCAGCACTAGTGTTGGTTAATGGAAGTATTTACGTTCAGCCGAAACCAGCGGATGAGCAATGCTGGCTGAGAGAGGCCAAGCCAACATGAACAGTAACGGGGTGCAGCAGGGAAGGGGGGAAGTAGATACGGAATTGAGGCGAAGATGAGCACACTTATCAAAATTGAGTAAGAAGCCCCAAACGGAGACCTCACGTTGAACTGAATTCGAGAGTCTCCTACACTGATCAGCAGAGTTAGATAACAGTGCAGTGTCGTCAGCGTACTGTAAACCCACAAGGGAAGCATGGGTGTTGATAACTCAGGGGAGCATTCCAAACATTCTTTCATAGGAGGATTCTACGTCAGAAAACAAGTGAGTCAAGACAATGTTATGAAAAATATGGAGTGAGGGGAGTCGTAAGGCACGACTTTGTCGTTGTGACAAAATGGTTCCAGAGTCGCGGACCCTGGACAGTGGTCAAGAGCCACGAGGGAGCTGACAACAGCAGGAGGGATTTGATCATTGTGAAGGAGTGAGGCTCGTTAGTAGGGAAGGAGACCGAGCCAAAAGCTTTACGTAGACCATTCCAAAAACAGAACGCGAAGGGAATACTGTTGAAGTTTACATACTTAAAGGAGCCGTATCATAAGATGTTCAGGTCGAGTATGGTTCAGTGGTAGAGCCCGAAGCTCGGAAGCCAAATCGAGTGGCGCGGCTCCGATCGTCAAAGTCATGTGCGATGCGTTTCTGAAGAAGAGATGCGCAGATGTTATACTTGGACGGTAAATGAGATAGGACGACAGTTGAGAAGATCGCAGGAGTCAACTCGTATCTTTTGATGAGCATCACAACCTTGGAGAGGGCCCATGCGGAACGGGCAGTAGAGGGGAAGAAACAGTAGTTGAAGTAATCCTGGATAACTTCAAGGAATCCAAGAAAAACACTCTAAGAATGCAGTGGGGGTGCCTTTGAGCATACCAGCCTAAATTATACCTCCAGACTTGGAGTCCTTACACCTACTTGGCATTTCAGGGCGTTTTTAATCCAATTATCTTTGTACTTATCATGAATACTCACAGACACAAAGTGCCTCATAAGCGGTCATACTTCGGCCTTACCTGCCCTAGAGACTGAAACCTTCGTCAATAGCAGGTTCCCGGTGGACCGCCCGGGCCCCCGCCGAAGAACCCAATGCAGGTGCACTCCTTTCTGGCATAGTACGGACATGAAATCCTCCAAGCACGGCATTGCCATTGATCCAGGGGCTTGGTGTGGTGCAGGATGTCCTCCAGAAGTGATGTGACCACCCCGCCTTCTTGCAGTTAATGTTCACAATAGAGTAACTACCGGGCGGGTGGGTTTATAGGCAGGGCCTCAGAGGGAGCTCATTGCTTAAAAGCTGCGGTATGTGAACTTTTGCGCTTAGGGTTTAAAACTTCCAGGATTGAGGTTCAGGACTGACCAGATTTGGAATCCAGGTTTCTGGGTTTTATTTGCATCCCGAATTTGACTTCCAACGCTCCCACACTTCAAGCCCGCTCGCCGCAGAGCTGCCCACTCTCACGCCTCAAGATCCAAGACGAGCAAATGTCTCTCAGCATCCGAGTCCTCCAATCAAACGTTTAGAATCTCTACGTACCCCGTTCCGCTACATGCAGCATCCCAAACAAATACACCAGACTGTTGCGACCACTTCTGCCCGTGAATCCACAGAGTTTCCTATTATGCAAACTGTCTGCTACACCTTCTACCCGAAAAGAACGGAAGATACTGAACCGCAACAGCAAGAACGCCAAAGTAGCATCCTCGTTGGTTGTTCCGATGTGAAGGCTGGGCCATCTGTGGCTTACACCTTCCTTGTTCACGGGAAAGCCAGCTTAGTAACGGTTAGCATGTAGAAGCCTGAACGATTAGCAAGGATATGCGTTTAAAGCCCGCATTTTACAATGGTCTATAATGGTCTATCTTATATAGCAAGCCCTGTTAGAATTAAGTAGGCCCCTGCAACACAATCCCCATACCAACGCTTACAGACATATAGTCTCCCATTCTGCTTCCCATTTGGTGCAGCAATAATCCGCACTCCTATATGTCCCCATGCAACCCCCATGACTCCTATAAAGGACCCTGTGTTCATATAGTTTCAGCCGCTACGTTAGGCGCATTCGCTTAATTAAAGTGTCCTTGAGACATGAGATTTGTTCAGGGCCATCCCCAAACAGCTCTCAAGAAAAGACCTGCCTCCAGCATAACACCAAGCCCCGAATAGGGAGGTTTCACTCAGGGCTGGGGCTTGACAGGCTGGGGGTACTATGGGATCTTATAGCGAGACTGTACTTGGAGGTTCATGGGTAGTTATCAGTAGGGCTATGGGTGTGGGGATCCATAACCAATTAGGTTAGGCCTTTCACTAGCTTTATCTCTTGTTCCACTCGAAACAACCAGTGAAGCTTCAAACGCAAGCTCCCTCATGCTAACCTTGTATTCCTTGAGCTTGCTACGGGCAACATGGTTTGAGGTTTTAGTTGTGGATTTTGGGCATCTGGAGAATCCCTGAGCCCTGAAAGTCAAGCTGCACAATTTCACGGTACACCCATCCTCTATTAGAGAAGTCCCGAAGATTGCACGTCTGTGATATTGAGTCTTAAGCCGCAAGCCCCAAGCAGATTCCCGAAGCCCCAAAACAAGCTCGAGCCTCAAACTGTAAGCAATTGTGGGCCCTGAACCCTGGACAACTGAAAGCTCTGCACCTTGAACCCTCCTAAGGCCTAAAGCCTAAACTCTTAGCGGCCCGAAGCCTTGAACATCAAACCCCAGTCAGCCCAAAAAACCTTGAGCAGTAAACCCACTTCTGTGAACCAGGCCACCGGTCCTGGTGCGAGACCGCCCGGACCGCCTCCTAAGGCTACCTGGTTTGTTTGTGTGTTTTCGCATGTGTGTTTCCTTACTCATGCTCATTCTTAGGGGCCGGTGGGGAAGTGGATCTTTGTGAAGCTATACTTATACAATCGCTTGGTATGGTATCTACATGCTTACCCCTGCTCCTCGTGCACGCGGTGCCGTGAGGCACTTGATGAGGACATTTGAGAACAGGGTTGGGGGTTGTCAAAATCGAATAGGGGGATGCGAGGGGACCCAGGGTATTACGAAGGGGTACGCTGTTTAGGGTTCAATGGGTTGAGGCGCTTAAGAGGTTTTAGGAGGTTTAGGGCTTTGGGTTTAGGGGATTTTGCTTTTGGGGGTGTTTAAGGTTTGACCACCGGTTGCTTTGTCCACCATAACAGGTATGCTAGTGATTCGTGCCAGGCTATCTACAGGCCGCAATGACAGCTTCACCACCCTTGTGCAACTTAAGAATCAGCGTAATCCTTGAAGAGCCTCCGGCTCAAGCCGCCCACAACAGAGGCAGCCAAGTTTTCTTGGATAAGGTGAGACGGAGAGTCGTAGCAGAAGTCCAGTAGGTTAGTTCACGCCAGCGCAGCCAACATTGCAGTAGCGGCACCGCAGTCAATTTCACGACGATGTGCTTTGTCCGAAAACTGTCGCGTTGCTTATGAGTTCGCTGACTGAACACGAGATCAACCGGCGAAAAGTTCACGCGAGGCTGCCGGACTCTGCATGGCCTTGTGCTGTGCCAAGGCTGAGACCCGTGCTTTCTGGTCTCCGGGACCAAGCTCAGATGGTTGCCTTGGATGTGGGCAAACGGAGCCGGGGTAAAAGAATAGGGTCTTCACCGTTGTCCGTGTCTTCCATCCAGCGTGCCCCGAAGCCAGACGAAAAACATTTCTGTGCCAGCGCAACGGATATTGAAGTAGCGGCACTGCGGTCACATGCATGGGCTGGGCAAGCGCGAGAGACCAACCGGTTAGATGGCTGCAATCTGTCAGTTTGCTGGGTGTGGCGTTGACGGCCTGGGGCCCGGGCTGCCAAATCATCGGGACAGGACCAAGTTTGCATCCCCTCCCGGGCTGACCCCTACATCAACCCAGGTTCCATTTCATTTTTGTTTTCTTTTCCACTTGATTCTCCATGATCCCCTTCATGCTTCCAAAACCCTATACGTCGTAACGGAACCCCTATACCTGGTAGTGTAGACAGACCTTAAGATCTGATTATGGCATTCAGCAGGCCTCAACACAGCCGCTTTGTTTGGGCCACCTTGCTGTTGATTCAGAACGCAAAAGTGTTGATGGAGCAAATCTTGCGCTGCCCTAAGTCTCTTAGGTCTCTTAATTCTGAAGGCTTGCAATCGTTCAAACACGCTCAGTCGTGCAGGATTCCTGTATCAACAGCATGGTTGCAATACATGCAGGCATAACCCCAGAATGGAGTCCCAGTTACTTCTGAGCCCGACGGCGCCCAGGTCTATAAAACTTCGTCATTAAGTGAGTAGCTTGTGTTATCATATTGTATAATGGACAGACCAAGCCACAGAAGCGGAGTAGAAACAGTAAAGTCGGAACAGAACTATCCTCCCACCTCACGACTTAGGACATCGCAAGACTGAGGCAGTCATCTTGCACTGAGGTTATCTCAAACGTGAGGAAGCTGCAGCCGTGTAAATCTTGCTATGTCCTTGTTGTATTTTCGGCCTTTACTGTCAGTGGGCTGGAACTGATTCTTGTGGTCCTCAGAGCTTTCACTGCCAGAGTATAAAGCCAACAATCCAAGCCCTCGTCCCCGTCCCGAGATCTTAATGCCTAAAGGAGCACGAAACGTAATCTCCCATTACAGTATTTAACCAACAACTGCACGTCATAAGCCCTATACTCCTGCATGCTGAACACTAAATCCTAAGCCACAAGCTCTTCAGCCCGCAAGTAAAAAAAGAAGCAGGTGGCACCCGGCGAGCTTCCGCCGGGTGCGAAGCCCCCACCCCCACCGCCTAAATCGAAGCCAGGCTGATCCCTTTCTGGGTTTTCAGATGTGAGATATGGAATGCTTTGGATTAGACGAATGGAGGACAAATGGAAAAGAGATTGGAAGATGAGATGAAAGCAGTGGCCACATAGTTTTTTTTGTATTGTTTTTTTCCAAATTTTATATGGTGTGGTTTTGTCAATGTTTTGTGAGGAGCATGTATATGAATATATAGGAATCTTTAGGAATATTGGTGGATGGGCATGTTCGGTGTTTACTGGGGGGAACAAAATGTCAAATCCCCATTTGCCAGGTTTAAGTTTAGGGTCCTGGGTTCAGGATTACAATGCCATAACGGAGAATCAATAGGAGCATAAGCTGACGATGAAATGAAGGCTAGCTTTCTGTCGGTGTTCCATCTGGGTTTATGGAGCTTAGATTGTAAGTTGTTAGTATACGGTAAACCTTGGAATTCGCTGTGTGTCTTGACCATGATAAGATAAGGGAATTTCCTCCGCATTGAAGGGTTCCTACGGACATTCTGACGTTCAGGGTCTTACCAGGCTTAGCAGGTTAGAATTTAGAGTCTTGGAGTTTGCGGTTTATTGGTTATTTGTTGGATCTATTTCATAGTGCAACAGGCATATGAAAGAGTATTAGTATAGGGAGCAGGAAATCGGATAGGAGTATTGTTGAGAAGCATGTCCCAACATGGAACCAGATTTGGGTCCGGGGAGTAGGCTTGGCTGATGTAGGGTTTATCAAGGTTTCGGGGGGTCATTGTTGAGCGTCCCAGGGTTCAGAGTGTCAGGGTTTGGGGCTGTAGGGTTCAGGGGAGTATCTTACGGCACCGGGTTATAGAGTTTAAGTTGTTAATGTTTAGAGCGTTTAGGGTTTGTGCTTGTGTAATGTTGGATCCTGATTAGTGCGGGGGCCCCCCCAAACAAAAAGTGGAGCCCCTATAATAAAAAGGCCGTATGGCTCCTATTGAAGTCAGTAAAGGAAGAGGGATCCTTCGGCTCATTGAATCCATAAGGACTTGCTCGGTCTAGCTTTCAAGAGAATAGGAAGGGCAAGGTCTTCAGCCTTTGCGTTAGACGGCTGGTCTTGAAAACCAAGTAAGAGCAATTACAATGTACTTAAAATCATAGAAAACCTTTCCAAAATCAATTAGAAAGGAATTTGATCAAAACTTTACCAACAGCTTTTCCGGCCGAAAGAACTTTACTTTATTGGGACCTCCCCAAATCGGAAAGGGGGTCCAGAATGATTTTTGAAAAGCTTTACTTTATTGGGGACCCCCGCAGTAATCGGGATTCGACATCAAAGTTTAGCCTGCCTGGTTCGCACATGTAGTTTATCTTCCAGCAAACCGCAGTTTGGACTGATGAACCATCAGCTATGTATGCAGCCCCCACATGTTTTTGTGTCCAATGAACTCGTAGCGCTCAGCGGAGACTGTAAGGTGTGACAAGTGCATCTGTAAAAACCATACCCATGAAGCGCTATCACCTGGACCCTCGGTCTAGGTAGCGCACCTTTTTTTTGTCCGACAAGGAGTGCGCATCATGATCCCGAGTGTCATTGGGATTGTAGTGGGATTTCCTAGGTCCGTTCGGGATTAACAATTATTTCTAATTCTAATCATTGGTAACCCACCGTCTGTGTTTTCTAGGAGCAGCAGGTCCAAAAACAGGATTTAAGGTTTAGGGTTCGCTGTTTGCCCCGATTGATGAGTCCAAGCCCCTGTCTCAGAATTTTCAAGTTCAGGAATTACGTTTTTGGGGCTGGAGCAGAATCTACAAGTTGAATCTAGCAGTTCTTCCCCCTAAGCCCGACGGTGCCACGAACAGGGTTTCCAGAGCAAAGGAAGGTTGTGAAGGCCCCACATGGTCACAAGGAGCCGCGCTTTACTTACTTCCTTGAACTGTCAGTACTGGCTGCCAGGCTATGAAAACAGTGCCACAAAATTAACCAGTCTTGAACACAACCAGTGACCCTGCCATCTTGAAACCATTTAGCACGCGACCCTATGCTCCAAAGTCAGCAGTGAAAACTGACGCGTGCTCCTCGCCATCCCAAAGCCCTGAGTCAAGCACCGTCGCTTCTCTGCAACCCGTCGCCGCGCCCCCTGCGACGCCTCACGTTGCCACAACTCTTGCCGCCACGGCCTCGCCTCAATGCTGTCCAGCGCTATTCCAAAGCTCCTCGCCAATTGCGTGGCTACCTTAGCCTTTATAGTACAGTGCATGGGATCTGTATTGGTCTCGGCATCGAGACAGATGCAAGATGGTGCTTGGTGGGGTTGGGGTACTCAACCTGTGAAGTCTCCACAAGTATAATTAGGTGACAAGTAACCCGTCACTCTAAGTAGGGTACATTTTGGAAGCCGGCTGGCTCGACCTCACGGCCCTTGAAGTCAGCCATGCTAAAAGTGGCGCCAGCAGCTGTTTCAGCGGAGTTGCAATAGTGGGAGTTGAGCAGGTTGAACCGCTCCCTCTCGCTCTGCCACTTTGCATGCCCACCCTTTGATCCTAAGGCTGTTTGTACGGTCTTACTTATCCCTGTGAGCTTCTTTTCTTTTGCATGTGATTCTCCATGATCCGAACATCTATGGAGATGCGCTCATGAAGAGCACCTGTGAAGGATAGATGCCCGAGTACCACATCGGGTTTACTCCCTACTCCACAATAATGAGGCTGTGACAGGTAGACTACCGTAGACTCCCCTTTCAAAGCTTCAGCGACGTGAAGTATAGCGAGAGATATGAGGTCGTAAGCTCTACTAGAGATTAAGAAGTTTGGTAGTCTTCAACCACGACTACGACCAAACAATACTTTCCTAGCCTTTGGTAAGCCCGTGACGTCACCGGCCGAGATCCCTTTCACAATGTTTTCTAGTGGCAAATGCAATAAGACATCCTGTGAAGTCAATCCTGCCAGTCTGGGAAAACTCAGGTGCGCTTCCTGGCCCTAAATCCTAGACCCAAACCTTCAAACCCCCAACCCCTAACTTGCCAAAACGGAGAACCCAAGCCAAAAATCAATCCAAACCCGATACGGGGTCCCGGTTCATCATGTCTCCTAAATGTACTAGTCATGGGCACTTGCAACAAGGAACCCGTTTTCTTGGGGGACGTTCGCTTTAAGCATGAAACAGAGAATCCTAAACACTAAGCCCTAAACCCAAAACGCGCAAGATGCCGCTGCCTCCCAGCCTGCTGCTAAGCCGCTGAATGCTGTAGGGGCGCCCAGCCGTTAGGTTTCCAACGTCAGGTAATTGGGCATGTCTAGGGAAACATAAAGAAAACAGGGAACTGAAATGGAAGCTGGAAAATAAGTGTTTCTAGGGATGATTGTCATGTTGTGGTCCTAAGTTATCCCAAAATGACATTTGTAATTATGTAGGCTCTCGCAGAAGGTCGCCACTCCCAAACAAACGTGGAAGCCCGAAAGAGACCCGGTAAAGATTGCTGCCCTTTTAAAGGGCCATGTTAGCCGAAACAATAACATCCTGCAGCTTCTCATACAAACCCTTATTGTATCGCGACTAGAGGACTTTTGAAGCATGTGTGTGTGGATATATATACATATACACACATATGGCAGGTTGGTTGAGAAAACAATGGTCCTTTCTTGGGTGCCCTATACATCAAGGCCCATACTATAAGGAGAGTTCAAGAAAGCTCATAGCTTTGCAAGAAATGTGGGTGCGGTATCTCTCGCCAAGGAACCCAGCTTTACAGAAACTGGTTCCGAAAGGTTGGCGTATCGAGGTTGAGGGCGTGGTGTGAGGAAATATTTGCAGGCCCCCCCAACCAATCAGCAAAGGCGAAACAGTCATGATAAACTTTTGTAGCAACAATTTCAGAATTCGGAAATTCCAAGCTTAGTTTTTGCCTCAATACTGCTTTTGGGGGAGGGCTGTTGGTCCCATAGCACAGCTTGTAATGCCTAGGCGCTGCTTCATTCTGTGGTGTTTAGGGCTCCTTCACGCACGAGGCAACACAATTGATCTTGCTCCCTATGGCAACTGGCGTTTCCAACAATTAGCGGTACCCTTATGGGGGTCTCCATAATAGGGATTTTGGCTTTTTGGAGTCTATATTGGGGTCCCCATATTTATGGAAACTACCATATGTCCCGTAAAGACATGTCGTGTTGAAAACGTGTTCATTCCACATGTGTTTTGTTGCCGCTTCCGCAGTAGCCCTCAACATATCGACAAGCCCACACCTCTGCAAAACATGAAAGCCAGTCACAAGTCGTCCTCAAATGCACAACACCCAGCACGTTTGACGAAAGCATTTCCAACCAAAAGAGAGCTTGAATCCAGATTCGCGATGCACAGACCCCTGTACGCTGCAAAGAACGCCCGCCTGGCGGGTTAAGGGTTTAGGGAACCATTGCCCACGAATCTGCCACGGAGCTGGCGCTATTTCTGCGCATATGCCCCCTTACCACCCCCTCAGATGCCTTACTTAAGTAGAGACACAGCCAGTTCGTTTTGAGCAGCACCCAGAATGACGGATGGTTTAGACCAATAATTCTTGTGCATCTGTAGCTTTTCCCGGCTAATGTAGCCCCACACCCGAAGCCCTACCCAAAACCCTAAACTCTAAACCTCAACCGTCAACCCTAGTCCCCAAACCCAGGCCCTAAACCCGGACCAGAAGTCTGAGGCGACCCGGTTCATGCCAACGACGCTGCGCACGAAGAAGCCATCGCAGGCCCTAAGCCCTGAGCCCTCAGAGAGGAAATAATGCTATGAGAGGAGCACGAAGGCTCAGGATTTAGGGTCTAGATTTAGGATTCCTTGATTTAAGGCTTAAGGTTCAGGACCTAGGGCCCTTGATGTAGGACTTAGGATTTAAGACTCTGGATTTGACAAGATACGCACAGCACTGTAACATGAACACGATTTCGGGAGGCGGAAACGCACAGCACTGCGGCGGGAAGAGCGGCGAGAAGAAGATGTGCCCCCTACATGGGCGGGAGCGGGATTCATCAAGTCGGGGAGTTCCAAGTTTTGGCGTCCCTTGTGCCTGTGGAAAGAAGGCGAGGTTATTCGAATGTGCACCCTGCTAATGTGGGGCCGCGAAAGCGCCATGCGCCTGCCTGAGGCACCTCGCACACTCAGCAACCAAATCCTTTGGTAAGAATTCCATATTTACCACGATGATTGACGAAAAACACCATTCACCATATATTCAACAGCAGATGAACCGAAGTGTATAGCGGCGCATTCTGACTTGCACATGTGAATTGCAGTCAGTGTTATGGTGCACTTTTGGATTGTTTGCTTGGTGGAAGCGACAGCTTGCGCTTTAATACGATGAGAGTCCCAACAGATGAGCGCCACGATGATGTAAAATGTTGAGCTTCAGCGGCGTCTGTGCACCTCACCCGGAAGGCTGACAAACCGACGCATGGAATTCATCCCTGCTGCCATAGGTTCCTACAGGCCAAAACTGTAAACCTTAACCTCCGACACCCAAGCCCACGATTCCGTACCACCCCAATGCCAATACCCAAGGTTCTCAGCTAGGCAGGGACAAAGCAAGTTCTCAATCGGCAGTATGCTGAAGCCTCTCGTTACGAATATGCGTAACAAGAGCGCTTCCTGATCCTAACCTAAATTCGAATTTTCAGCATTGAGCCTTAGAGCCTTCCGCCCGGCATCCGGGGGGGGGAGAGTATTCTGAGCTTCATGGATAATTAGCCAGACGTAGAGTTATAAGCAGGACAATCATCGCTGTGACTTTATGTTGGGTACTTACCTCAAAGTAGAGGGGCTTGTGTATGCACTAGAGATTGGGATTGAAGGTTCTTCAGTTTGGCAGGCCCCGTGTTTTACCGATCGTAGTGGTGATGGCAGTTACTTGTGGTGAATACCACGCGCAACCTTGGATCGGACCATTAGCGGACGTCTGCCAGCGAATTAATGCTTTCGATGTTGCTCATGCGTGGGCTGGGTGACGACCCTTACTTACAATCCCCTCAGCTGGACGGATATGTATATAGGTTACGAAAGAAGCAGCACAACTACACCCCCAGCTTTGGGCCAGGGAACTCAGCAACTAAGTTGTGCACGCGTTTCCTTTTTTTGAGCTCAGCTGAACTTTGCAATTTTTCATTGAAATCCCCAACAAAGCGCATCGCAGATCGGTGGTTTTGAAGTGTAAGCCTGGAACCCTAGATAACACCTCAAGCCTGAATTCTGAATCCGTAAAGCCTCAACAACCTCGGGGTATCCTAACTGGAACTCGAAGCTCCACACCCTGAGCCCTCAACTCTACACCCCAAAACGTTGTTTAATTTCATTCCTGAACGTTCACAATCCTTGCGAGCCCTCAAAGTAGAAGGTGTGCACAGCTTTCAACTCATTGAAAGGTCGCTGGAGGAGTCCTTCAAGCTTCATCTGCGTCGCTCTCGCAGGCTTAATGGGAACCCTAAACCTGTTCTCTAGGTTTAGGGTTTACGGTTCAGGATTCAGATTTAGGGTATACATGCCCAAACACTAACAAGGAACCTCATATAGCCATGCTTGTCTTTATGGGCCCCCTTTTGGGGAACCACCCTGCACTTAACGCTGCTAGTTTTAAGATTAGGGCTTAAGCCTATAGCAAGGATGGTTCTTGGGGTTGCGGATGGAGGGGTTGATTGGTTAAGTCTGAGGATTCAGGGTCTCAGGGTGTAAGGTGACCATTAGGGTGGGGTATTTGGAGAATGGGATTTGGAACGTCAGGCTCTCATGAAGGTTTTCCGTATTTTGTGTGGAGGCTGTCAGAGATAGTAAACAAAAATCGCAATGAGCATGGAAATGCGGTAGTACTACGGTTTAGGCTTCACAGGACTGCGGTTTGGGGTTCACGGCTCTAAACCCTCAAGCCCCAAAGTGTTTTTAGCTTTGGGTCTAGGACTCCAAGTTAGCCAAAGGTCGCGCGTCAAGACGTTGAAAAGAAAGGGTCCAGCGAGATTAGCAACCGTTATGCTCCCGTGTTCCGGGCAAAGCTCCAGGAGCTAGCTACGCAGGAAAGAACCTAAGGTATTGCCTGTAGTTTTTTAGTTCTCGCTGCTATACCTACATAGCAGTAGTGTTTCGTACTATACCTACCTAGCCTAACCATACTAGAATCCCATACATGAGCCAAGGCTCCCATTTCGTGTTCCATATTCTTTCCCATTCCATCCTCCGTTATTTCTGTGCCCTAAGCCCTAGACCTTCAATCTCTATCTACATAGCCGTAGGTTCCATTTTGTGCTCCGTATTTTCCATTTCATTTTGTATTACTGAGGTAAGTAACCCATCCTAGCCCGAGATACCTTGCGTGGAAGCGCAGCGTGCAGTTTATTGCCGTTTGGGACTTCGGGCCAAGGACGCTCAATTAGTCCGTTGAATGATGCAGAGGGCAAGCAGGCAAGCTAGCAGGAGTTGGAGAAACGGTGGATGCGCACAATCTTGCATGACTCTTTTTGACTAAGCCCTGGCAAATGTGGCGTTGTAGTGCACTAGGGTAATGCAAGGTTTTGTCCATCACCAGAATGGCACTTGCCCAATCAAGTGGGTCGAAACGGGGCGGGTAAACGCTGGCGGCACCTTAGCCCCAACATATCCCACTACAACCCGAATGTAATTAAAGAACCCTTGCATCGCCACCGCAAGCCCACCGTAGCCACCCACACTGCATTCAAATGGGGCTTAACTTTTCCTGCATGCATGCAGGATACATGACACTCCTGATGACGCCACATTAACTCGACATGCCGCTTCACAGGCTGACAGAAGGCACTTGAGTAGCCCAGCTTTTTTGGGGTTGAGGCAGTCTCGGGATTTGCCATGAGCTTTGTTTGAAACAGTTTGACAGACAGCTTACGGAGGCTGGAGGTGGTCAGTGTTCAGCCGTGATCATGGTTCCATCGCAGAAAACCCTCCCATCCTGGCAACTGGGAGGCTTTACGGCAGTTGAAATGTAATTATCGAGTGTTGTTGCCTTTTACATGTGAGAGTCTGTGCTGGCATGCGTTCCCGTCGTTTGCCCTGGAGCTGAGCAGGTCTGCCTTGAGGTCAAACAAGGTTGCCGCATGATAGCACAACCATATCTGCAGACTCTACGATCTGTATGTATAAAATGCTTGGAAGCTCAGGACATTCTGCCATCATAGGACGCGCGATGGTCTTGAAAAATGTACAAGCCGATAGTAGCTTGTCGTTGCTTCAAGCAAGATTTGTGTCCCAAACGCAAACAGCTAAGGCCGTTCAGCCGTAGAAGATAAAGAATTCAAATGGACAAGCTTTGTTTGCGCAACGCGTGCCTTGCAGCCAGCAACCCGCGCGCGTCTCACAGGCCGTCAAAGACCCCTCGCTTGCGATCAAAGCGCAAGCTGCCTCCAATTCAAACCCATATGATTTTCGTATCGCGAAAGTTTCATGCGCAACCTGATTGTCCACATCGCCACGCTCACTTCTTGTGGAGATTGCGGCATGGAATGGCCTGAAGCATTATGCTGCATCAGCGGCAAGACTGTTGGAAGCTCAGGCTTGTCAAATAGTTGTGCAAACATAGTAAATCCAAGCTGGAGAATGTCGCAAGTATTACACCATTGCAGCAGCTTCGGCGCAAGCATTTTTGATAAGGCGACCAACGACGAGGAAAGGTTATTGGGAAGGTCGCGTCAGTTTTATATTCATCAGGCTCGGAGGGGCCTGGATCATGTGAACAAGGCCTCTGTCAAACACGCTCAATGTGCATAGGAGCTAGGTCTGCGAGCGGATCATATGGGTCCTATGGTTACCACACATCGTGCCGTTGAGCAAATATTCATCTTGTGCAACAAGGCTTTCCCCAGAGTTTCGTTCGCAAAAATAAACTCATGGTCGGAAGGTTACCACCCATGAGTTGAGGCTCCGGCTATTATTTTGCACTGCAACAGTAGGCAACTTCGGACCTTAGCAGGGCCGTAAAGGAAGGTGAGGAAGTCTGTAATGTGAAGGAGGCGGTTGGGACGCTGTGGGAGGTTTTGGAGCCCTGGAAGGGCCTGGGATGCGGGGCGCTCACAGGATTGCGGTACTTTATGGTTTAGATGTCGCAAGACTGGCACGTCCTGGCTCATAAACCCCAACCAGTGTGAGGTTGCACAAGACGCACTACCCTCAGCCTAGAGACGAGGAAGGCAAGCTGCTTAAACTCCTCAACAGGCTTTGGTAGCCCTTTTGACACTTCAAAAAGGCAGATCTCAGGGTGGGATCCTCACTACCCAAAGGCGGGGACGTTTAAGTACGAAAGCATTTTTTGCCAACCTGCAAAGCTGAGCCGGATGATGGGGCAACTGAAGCAAGCATGCAACCCCTCATGGGCTGTGCCTGAGTGGATATTAGAGATTGCAGGCTCCTTAACGTTTAACGGGCCGCCCTGTCCTTAAACCTGTTGTACCGTGTCCTTCAGGAGGATCAGTCCAACACGAGGGTAGGTATTGAGTAACCTTCGGGGACCTCGGGCCATATTGGCGGGGATCATGGCATTCTGCAGATTACAAGCGACCCACTGCCATTGGGTGTTGGAAACCATTGGCTCTCAAGCTATGATTCCTCATTTAGTCAGACATTTTCAACCCCAGCCGGTATGCCAACCAGCAACCCCAATCCTCGAACTGAAACTCAAACCCTGGGCCTCCTTACTTAGGGCGATTGTGTTTTTCGAAATGTAGTCCATACCTCTTCGTCCAGGATTCAAGAAAGCGGCTCCTGTTCACGGAGGCAGATCGGAGAGTCAAAGAAGCTATCCGGGCATGTAGTTGCACTGTCTATGTACACCAGAAACTCCAAGTTGCTCAACTACAATCATGTGGCTGATGCAAGATTACTTCGTTGTTGGAATGCAAGGGTTCACAGGGACCATGGTGTTTGAGGTGTACATTAGGAAACACTCGTATAGGAAAAAAAAGATTTGGAGTTTAAGGTCTACCCTCACGCAGGATGATATGGAATACCCGCGCGTTCAAAGCGTAGCAATCTTTCCAGGATCATTTTGGGGCTCCAGCTGGGGCGTGTACGGTGTAGGGTACAGCTGGGGTTTAGGGTTTCAAGGTTCTTTTCCTCGGGGCAAAGGTGCGGCACCTGATAATGAAAATAGTGCTACGTATTCCAGATTTAGGCGGGCTCAATATGTAGCCATGCTCAGCATGTAAGAAGCATGCGCTTTTTAAAGCCTGAAACATCCGAACCCTGACGCCTAAACCTAAACTTTACCCGTTCTTTGAGCTTTGAACCCGACCATTCTACAGCCCTCCAAGCTAAAATTCATTGTCTGGTTCGACTGCAGCAGCAGGATGGTTTGGATCTCTAAGTTTCAGGTTGAGGGTTTGAGGTTTCGATTAGGTTTAGGGCACCACCTTGAGTACGCCAAGGTCTCCGAATTGCATGAGTGCGGGAGCGAATTGCAGAATCTCCTTCTTTGGTATAAAAAAGGATTTCCAACCTTTCATCCTAACCCCGTCCTCAACATCCGTATCCAAGATAGAGACACCACCTGCTGTCAAAATGCGAGTACCCGGTCTAGACAGTCGGGGGAGGGCCGGTGAACGACGTTTTGTCTGGAGATGCAGGCTGAATTCGACTTGGATCACGCGTCGTTATGCATCTCAAGTTCAGATTTGCTGTCAAATGGTGCCTCTACGTATTTACTGTAAGTGTGAACGCTTGAGATGGCTTGCAAATTTGCAGAATTAAGTTTTGAGACATGAGGCTTTCTCTTTGAGTTTCAGAGGTCCTGGAACATTCAGCCCACTGCTGCCATGGTTGCCTAAACCCCGAAACCTCCAAGATGTCACAAGTGTAGTGCGGAAACAACCGAACGGTTGCAATTGAGAGAAGCTGGAAATAGCTTTATGTAGCATTTATGTAGGTTGACAGCTTAGCTTAGGCCCAACGAAGACCCTCGAAGAGTCCCATTCAAGCATATACCTCCCAAAACAAAGTAGGGCCCTTGTATACATCGTATGTACGTTCAGCCCGAATTCAGGTAAACATCGCGCACTTAGCCCAAAGGCCTCAACCTCATATCCTGTGCGCAAGGCTCCGAAAGTGGTCGAAAAGGTCAACATAGAAGACGCGTTCCAGGAGCAGCGCTTTGAGGGGTGTCTTGAAATCATCTTTGCTTCTTACAGACCCTTCAATAACACACCTCACATATCTGGGTAGTCCCCATACTAGCCCTCATGAGCCACTAGGGTTCGAGCGTTCTCTAAACAAGCCTAGTTAAGAATAGTGCCCGAGGTGGTAGTCGAACCCCTGATAAACTTTACTCTTCCTATGAATTTCTTGCATTGACCCTAGAGTTTGGGAGTGGTACAGGGGTCCATAGGGGAAACCAGAAATGCGGACCAGACAGGGTCGTTGTTGAAGATGTTGTTTGCCAAAGCCCTCAAGGAATATACAAGGTCTAGGCACATGCTTCGTAGGCTGAATCCAACAGTGTGGCTGTGTGAAATCGCCCGCAGACTTCTGCGTACGAGCACCTGGCAAAGTCCCAAAATCAGCATAATAGGTTTGGGGAATGGGTTATGAAGGTGAACATCTCAATAAAGAGCTGGTTGAGATGATGTTGAT